GGAATGGTCTTTGTGTCTTGTTATTGCCACAATGCCAATGTCTAGAACAATGCCTTGCATACAGTAGAAGCCCAGTAATTATATGTTGACTAAAAGAGTGAATTACAAGGGGCGCCTGGGTGGCTCAGTCAGTTAAGCATCCGACTTCGGCTCGGGTCATGATCTCACGGTTCTGTGCTGACAGCTCAGAGCCTGGAGACTGCTTTGGATTCTATGTCCCTCCCTCTCTCTGTACCTCCCTCACTCACGCTCTGTCTCTCTCTCTCTCTCAAAAATAAATAAACATTAAAAATATTTTTTTTAAAAAAGAATGAATTGCATGTTCTCTTTCAAAATTTGATCATTGGATTTATTAAATTGCCTATATGCAAAGAGTGAATTATTCATCGGGCTTACACGAAGTATGAATAAACAGATCAATAAAATACATTCATATTTTTAACAGCTATTAAGGTCTACTTAATTATGTACGTTGTGCCAGAGGCTCTTCATATAAGTGTCCTTCCAATAACCAGCATCATCTCTATGTTTCCTGATTCAGTTCCTTCCAACCCAGCTGCCATATACCGTCTATAGCAAACTATTTTTTTTTTTTTAACCTCTCTAGTCCAACCGGGTAAGAAGATGAACTCTGCCCATTCTTTCAGCCTCTTCCTTTTGTTGACCAGACACTTTGGCCAACAGAAGTTATAGTCAGGAGAAACAATACCAGATGTGATTTCTACCAAGAGAAAAGGATCATTCCCTCTCACAATTAGTTTGATACATGTAAAGAACATAGTCCTACAGCCTAAAACTGATAAAATAGAATCTGTGCTTATATTGTGCTTTACCATACATGTGTATATACACACATCACATCACGTCAAGATCCACCGAATCTTTAAGAACAACCCAGGGAGGGAAGTGTGCCATTATTTCCATTTTACAGATAAGACAACAAACTCAGAGAAAGTAAATATGAATACATTGCAGAGACCAAAATGAACCTGAGTTTTCATATGTATTATGTTTCTTTACCCTCTACATATTCTCAATAGCAATACAATTCTTTTTTTAAGCCTCAGACTTAACAGATCATTTTGAAATAAAGAAGACATAGGAAACTTCATCGCTTCTAGTGTTCCTTAGCCAACAAAATGAGCATAGATATTCTAACTTACTTATGTTGTTAGCCCCAGCACCAAAAAAAACCCACAAAAAAACAAAAAACAAAAAAAACCCAAAAAACCAAACAAACAAAAAACAAAACAAAACCCACAATAACCCAAAAAACAAAAACCAAACACCTTAATTTTATGATCCTGATGAAAAATCCATAAGTGATCCATGACTGGAAGACTTGGTCCCTGTGACCATTGTCCTGTCTCTGGGCCCTCCCCCCTGTGCTGTTAGGAAGGATGCAATCTTGGGACAAATAACTCAAATTAGAGATTAGAAGTCAATGATAATGTCCATAAAGTTCAGGGCCTACCATACAGCATTATTAGTAGGGCCTAGTGCACAGTAAGTCCCGGGTAATTCAATCTGTTACAGGAATATGACGTGATTTGATGTGATTGTTGATGTTACTGTGAAAGCACTTCGCTGGTAAAACAGTCTCTTCCTTTTGCCTGTCTTCTGATTGGTCCTTAGCAGAGACTAGGCGTTGGAAAAACAGCAAACGTTCGAGGGTTGAAGAATTTTCCATTGATCCCTTAATCAAGTAGTCGCCACTTTGTAACCGGTCCCTAGAAGGGGCGGGTCTTCCTGGAAATTTTGACTGCAGCTGTTTTCCCCCGGCTGTGAGTCAGAGCGCCCAGACTGCGGGAGAAGGTAGGGGATCCCACAGCCCGCGCTGGAGCTGGATCACACCCCTTAACCCTGACGGCCAAGACGCGCCCTTTCCAGCTCCCTTTCCCCATCTCCAAACCCGCTGGGGCTGGGGCTTGTTTTAACTGCAAACCCAAGGGGTGGGGGAATTTAATCCTGGTGTTCGCTCCCCGGGGGTTTTCTGCAGGTTTGGCAGTTTAGGGGAATCTTGTGGGGGGTGGGGGTGGGGATGAGGGCTGGAAAGGGGATTTAGGCGTCTGCTGATTTTCTCAAGGTCCCTCTTCTTTTTACTTTCCTTCTCTTTAACTTTACTTATTTCTCTCTCTCTCTCTCTCTCTCTCTCTCTCTCTCTCTTTCTTGTAGAAGATTGATGTTTTCTCAATTTTATCGAATTTTCTGCTGTGGAAATGGAGTTTCAAACCTCCCCCCACCCCCGACCCCAGTAGGACTGCAGCCTCTAAACCCTTCCCTATAGAAATTTAAGGAAGCGACTCTGGTCCCTTCTGTTAATACTTGGAGGCTGCAAACCTAGGACTGAAATTTTAAAGATTAAATCACTTTCTGTTTCTATCTGAGCTCCACTCCTCTCTTGTCCCCTGCAACAGGCTGCAGGGGTGTGGCCCGCTGCGCCACAAGCGCGCTGGCTCCGCCCTCTCCTAGGTGGGTAGCTGAACCGCTAGGTGCCTGGACTCTTGGATTCCTGAGGGTCCACCTTAACACGCAGCCCTCCGGCTCAGTGGGCCCCCCGTCTATTCTCCCAGCCGCCTCAGATTCAACGCTTTGACCTTGGTCAGCTGCTGCGGTCAGTGTTGCCAGGTGCATTTCTGAAATGGCATCCTGGGGGGCAGAGAACTAGTTCTGAACCACCATAGTTTGTACGGAGAAGGTGCAGAAAAGCAAATTCCTCTCAATGAAGGATTTGTTCTGGGGTTAGAATTGGGAAATAAGACTGTTTCTTTGTAGGAGATACCCCTCTGCTTCTGTCTCTTCACCTGGAAGCCATCCTTGGTGAGTATTGCCAAGCCTCAGATATTGGGTTACTTGACACATTTCTTCAGTTGTCGACGGTCCTGGGTCTTCCTCCTGTTGTAAGCTTCCTACTGATATTTTTAGAAATTTTTCCCTCCCCTAACCCCAGCCCGACCTACCAGATCTTACCTCAGTCAAGCATCTGCATGGAAGTCCTTTTCCTGACCATTCTTTCCTCTCCCCACAGCTGCTACTGCCCTCTGTGTTTCTATCAAATGGGAGCCATTTTGCCACACTCAGTTTTTTTAAATTGTTTAATGTTTATTTATTTTTGAGAGAGAGACAGAGAGACAGAGAGAGAGAGAGGGAGATCATGAGTGGGGGAGGGGCAGAAGGAAGGGGAGACAGATTCCTAAGCAGGCTCCAGGCTCTGAGCTGTCAGCACAGAGCCTGACCTGGGGCTTGAACCCACGAATGGTGAGATCATGACCTGAGCTGAAGTCGGATACTTAACCGACTGAGCCCCCCAGGCACCCCGCCACACTCAGTTTTTATCCAGTTCTTCAAAATACCAAACACAGAATGAAGAGCCTGATTTATTGGCGCTGATCTGTGGACATGGGGCATGGTGTACAAGATGCACCATTGCCATCAGATGGATGAGCGACGTGGACCTTGCTCTGGATGGGAGTAGGGTGAGGTTTTAAATGGTGATTGGGATGAGCATAGAAGGCCTAGAAGTAGTCCTCCAGAAGCTTCAGAATCCTTGAGGGGGATGTTGTTCTAGGAAGGAAAGTTGCCTTTCTCATGAGCCTGCATGTTTTTCTGGCCTGTGGGTTCCTCAATGAAGGTTGGGCTTCCCAGAGCCTCGTCTGCTTCTGGGACTCTGGATAAGTACATAAGTTTCTGTTTTTTTCAGCATTCTCTGTACACCAGACACTTCCATTTTAGCTCCTTAAGTTGTGTTTTCAGTGAAAGGTCCCCTAACTGGTGCTGGAGATTGTAGCTCATGTCACCCTTTGACAGAGCAGGGAGAGGCAAGGTGACCAGTGATTCTGTTCAGAATGGTCAGAGGGCAGCTTCCAGGGGTACTGGGGCCAATGACTAGGACCAGACCCACCCACTGATTCTCTGGATAAAAGAATCATAGTGTAAATCATAATCTAGATATGTAAGTTTATCTTCTTGTTACCATATCACATGAAATAGGTGTCTAAGATTATAATAAAATTTGGAATAGGTGGCTAGGATGGCATGATTTAAAATAGAGGTCATATTGGAGCACCTGGGTGGTTCAGTCGGTTGAGCATCCAACTTTGGCTCAGGTCATGATCTCACAGCTTGTGAGTTCGAGCCCTGCATCAGGCTCTGTGCTGACAGCTGGGAGCCTGGAGCCTGCTTCGGATTCTGTATCTCCCTCTGTCTCTGCCCCTAATTCACTTGCATTCTGTCTCTGTCTCTTTCAAAATTAAATAAACGTTTAAAAAAAATAAAAAATAAAATAAAATGGAGGTCATGTTGCATATGTGATATTTATATATATATCTTAGAATACTTTGGATGGAGGAAACAGTGGTTTCAGTTGTGTGTCCCAAAAGAAAAGTCACAAGGTAAGTGATCTTAGTTGCAGGGGACCATTATGGATCAAGACGCTTCTTCAGTGCAGGTCTCTGTTTAGCATGATCCAAAGTAACAGGCAAGGTCTATTTAACAACTGTAACAATTACAGCAGGAGCAATACAAGTCTATTATCATTGATTAAACACTTCCTGTAGGCCAGGCACTATTCTAAGGACTTCATATATATAAATCCATATATGCATATATGACAAATAGTATATGGTTTTCATTGTGGAAAGAGAATACTGAGGTTCAAAAGGGTTAAGATGATTTTAGTTATTCTACATACAGTATCTAAGGAATGGTATATTTGAAAAAGTGGAACTGGTATTTGAACCAGCTTCAGGGTGTTTCAGAGACTTCCTGTTGATTGGGTACTTAGTGAATCTTCCAGTTTACCGCTTGGGTCTGGCATTTAGAAGGAGTATTACTATTGGCATCTGCGTCCCCTTCTTCACAGCTTCTTTCTCCTTCCCATTAATCCTCTGAATGTATTCTCATGCCAGACAGGAGCACATGAGGTCTGGTCTTTGAATAGATAATCCCCAACATATCACTGTATTTATGATGTGTCTTTTCCACAGTAACCCTGCATCACCATGGTGCGCCCTTCTGGCCTACTAACCCGCCAAGAGGAACCAGGTAGGCATGATTCATGACCCTAACTTGCCATTGTGTCTTTGGCATCTAGCCCAATGCCTGGCATGCAGGAGGCCTTCTGGTAAAGTCTGTTCACCACTTGAACTCTGGTCTATCTCTAGTGCCATTGAAGAGCATCTGTGTGACCTTGTCCATTCGTGAGTTTGTGGCTGGTGTGGCTGCTACCTTAAACTATGAAAATGAAGAGAAATTTCCTTTGGAGACCTTCTTTGTGTTCCCCATGGATGAAGATTCAGCTGTCTACAGCTTTGAGGCCATGGTGGATGGGAAGACAATTAAAGCAGAATTAAAGGATAAGAAGAAGGTACTGGGGATGAGTAGATTATCTCCTCCCTTCTTATTTCCTTAATGTGTACTCTTAGGATCTCTAGCATATGCAACTTCACAAAAAATGCTGATGTTGAATGCTCTTTCTGCTATTCCCCTCTAGCTGCTATTTTCCTAAAATCATCTGGGGGGAATAGTCCATCAGGCATTCACAGTAGAGCTGTGACCTTGGCAAGACCAATCACAGGGCTTCTCCATCAGTCTCTGTTTTCCGTACCGCTCATCTCTTCATTTAGCCATGCCACCTTTGGTATCACCTTCCTTTCCCTGTTATCCGTAGGCCCACATCATCTATGAGAGTGCCATCAGCCACCGCCACCAAGCTTTCCTCCTGGAAGAGGACAAGTGCTCCAGGGACGTCTTCTGTTGCAATGTGGGGAACTTGCAACCTGGGTCAAAGGTGGCACTCACCCTGAAGTACGTGCAGGAGCTGCCCCTGGAAGCGGATGGGGCCCTGCGCTATGTGCTCCCAGCTGTCTTGAATCCTCGATACCGTTGCTCTGGTGAGTATCCTTTCCTTTTGAATACTGGTGGTGGGTTATATAATTTGGGAAACCCCCTCAAGTGTCGTAGGGGTGCTAAGAAATATGAGAAGGGAAAACAGAACTAAGGTAACTTCTTGTAGGATCGCCTGAGGACAGTTGCCTTGATTTGAAGACTCCCATAGTCCCTTTGGATGACTTGCCCTATGCGTTCAGCATGACTGCCACTGTCAGTTCCCAGCATGGCATTGAGACGATCCAGTCCAACTGCCCCTTGAGTCCTATTGAGTACCTTGGAGATAAGAAGACTTCTGCCCAGGTAATTCATAAGAAAGTAATGTTGCCAGCACCCCTGTTCTTTGGGTTCTGGCCTTGTTCCTCGCTCAGTCTTTCCAAAATGTTCCTTACTTTTCCCTACTAAGTAGAGGGAATCCTACTTTGTTCCTTCTTTATCCAGAGCCTTCTCTCCATTCTTGCCCCTGCTGCTGATCATGCTCACTCAAGGAAGAAGCCTGTAGCCCGCAGCTCTGACCTCAGCCCCAGGCAGCAAGCAGTGATAGTTCTAACATGGCTCTTTTGCTTGTTCCCAAACTCAGATTTCCTTGGCTGATGGACACAAATTTGATCGAGATGTGGAACTCCTGATTTACTACAGGGAGGTGCATACCCCCAGTGTAGCTGTGGAGTTGGGGAATCCTAAAAACAACCCAGGTATTTTCTTTCTCCCTTCGTAGTTACCTCCTAAAGGGTAACTCTTGTCTTGGAATTTCCCTCAGATTACCCTCACTTTACTTTTCTTCTGTCCAGTAGTAGGTAAAACATTCAAAGAGCTTACATTACGGTTAGATACAATGAGTATCATGTGGTTGTGTCTTAGAGGCAAATTTAAGTGAATCAGTAGATAACGAGATCAAGGACATGGACAAATAATTCACAAGAGGAAACACAACTAGTTTACAAACATAGATGGCAATGATCAGTCTCTACAAGTGCAAATAAAAATAAAATAAAATAAAATAAAATAAAATAAAATAAAATAAAATAAAATAAAAATAACTGGAAATGTGTACCTCCGAATCCCTTTTATCTATTTCTGGTGTATTTTATTTCTTTTCTATATCCCCTTATCTATTATCTATGGTACTAAGAGGTACAAACTTTCAGTTTCCAAATAAGTAAGTCACAGTGATGAAAAGTAGAGCACAGGAAATATAGTCAATAAGATTGTAATAACGTTTGGTGGCAGATGGCAAATAGACTTATTGTAGTGAGCACTGAATAATGTATAGAATTGTTGAATAATTATGTCGGGTACCTGAAACTAATATAACATGGCGTGTTAATTATACTTCAATGAAAAAGTAAATATTCATTTGTGGGGAAAAAATAAAATGAAAATAATGATGTGACATTTTCACTTTTCAAATTATCAAAGATTTCCAAATCCGATAATGCCTGATCATTCATCTCCATAGATTTTTCATCTCACCCTAGGATCTTAATTTCTAAGTATGTTAAAAACTGGATATAGTCTCTTAATAGTTTTTTAATTTCTTTAATTTCCCTTATTTTCTAAATTTTCCTTACCATGTGTGTACTGTTCCTTATAACTATAACTGGTATAACCCATAGGAGTCTATTGCTGTCTTGGGCCTTCCTGGGCAGCCATGTCCCTGGATTGCAGGGACCAAAGTCTAACTGGAGGTACTGCCACCTCTGAAGCTTTTTTCACATTGGTGGAATGGAAGGATGTTTGGGGACAGTCATAGTCACAATGCTGTAGCTTGGGTTAGGTTCTTACTTCTCTATAACTACACTGCTATGAAGACAGTTTCCTGTAGTTGGTCCTCCAGAGGCCATCCTTCTCTCCCATTGTTAATGTTTGGCCAAGGTCGATTTAGAGCTCCTTAGTTTGCCCTCACTTGTTCAACCATTTTTTCTCTGGGCCAGTTGTCCATGCTAAAGCCGGTAGAGGGGCTCCCAGCCTCAACCAGATTTGCTCCAGCTCTTCTTCCACTAAGCTCCATGCCCTGTCTTTGTACATTAGTTTTGTCCTTTTGTACTGTTTTTGTCCTTTCTCTTTGGTGGCTCCCCCTTGGGTGCCCATGAAATACGCCCACAGTAGCGACCTGGTCTTCAGTCAGGATTATTCTAATCCACCAGAGAAAGTTTTATAGTGCTGAACCTTCAAAGGTATAAATTAGGATCTCAGTTCCTTTCCTTCCAAGAAGCTCCCTTGGCCCCTAGGCGGAATTCCTCATCTGTTCTCTATGACGGGCTCTGCGGGCCAGAGCGGGATATCAGGGGAAGCCTTTATGATCTTGTGAATCCCCTTCTAGCAGGGCCGCTCAAATCTCACTTTCTAGATCATATATCTGGTCAAGATGACTCTCTGTTCCCATTCATCCAAGGAAGAAAATGACAAGTGGCAGCTTGGCTCACTAAACCCACTGACAGTTCTACAAAATGAAGCATACTACCACATGATGAAAGTACTTTACATACATATGTACATATGTATACACATATTTTAAAGTGTATTTATTTTGAGAAAGAGAGACGCATGATTTGGGGACAGGCAGAGAGAGAGGGAGAGAGAGAACCCCCAGCTGCACTGTCAGTGCTAAGTCCAGTGTGGGGCTCGAACCCAGGAACTGTGAGTTTATGACCTGAACGGAAATCACGAGTCAGACGCTCAACTGACTGAGCCACCCAGGTGCCCCCCAAAATATATATATATATATATATATTTTTTTAAACTTAGAATATACTTGACCATATTAAGAACATGATTTTTAAAAAGTTATATGTATAATTTAATAAAAATAGCATAAAAAGTTGGTAAATAATTTTCCAAAATTGTTATTAAGAGCTTAACCTGAGTTAAGGCCTCAATTCAGTTCCTTAAACATGTATCACTGAACCCTTAACATGATCTTGAGTCAGGTATTACTACTTGGATTGTTCAGATGAAGAAACTGAGGCCAGCAAGCAGAAGAGCTAGGGCTTGAAATGTCTTATTTAAAAATGAGGAAGCAGAGACTCATAAAGGTGAAAATAATTTGAGCCAAGCCAAAGGAATTATAGTAGAAATACCTAGATAGTGCATACTGTATATCTGGCATTGTTCTAAAAACATTAAACATACGCACCTGTTTCATTGTCACGACAGATTGTCTGATTTACCAGTCCAGTGCCAATCCCACTACAATAAGCTGCCTCTTTAAATAGAATGGAATTTACCTTGCCCATTAAAAAAAAAAAAAAAAGCTACCCTTCCATTCTGTATGCAGCGATTTGGATTTTTTAGAAGTTATTCTTGAACTATCATTCAAGCAAATATTTGATGAGCTGCGCCCATTTCATTTGGAAGCCAGTTTGGTCATTGGGGTATCCCCAGGGTAAGAGATTAAAACGAGCCACATCCTGTAGTCGTACTGAATCCCAAGGCTACTGAGTACTGAAACCTATAAATCCTGGAATCACTTTATAACAGTAAGATATGGGAATTTAATTCTTTGTCCTCTTATATTCTCTGAACTGTAAAACTGGAGTGGATCTAATCACCCAGCCATTCTCACTTCATCTCTGTCTCAATACTAACATTTCAATTCTTGCATCAGTTTTCACTTGTTCCTCAAAATAAAACCAAAGCTTTGACAGCCTGGTAAGATGGGTCAGGCTCCCATGGTTTCCTTCACAGTGTTGCTTGGATGATGCTGTTAGAGTCTAACACACATCCCACTTCCTGGGGATCATTAAATGTTTCATCCCCAAAGCAGAGGACTTTCCTTGGTGTGTATGACACTTATACTTCCAGCTCTTGCAAACTGCCAACATAGGAGTTGCCCATGAGCCTTCATTATTTCAAAAGTATAATTAAAGACCTAAACAAGGACCCACATAATAAATTTCGTATTGATTTAATCTGAAGAGAAGGTGTCCCTGCCAATAAATTAGCTCGATTCTTCTGGCAGATTCCAGAACATTTTAACTTCAGGCATTTCACTCAATTACCTCCCTGCTAGGAAACTAGCATCCAATTATATATTTTAATTATTGGTTGTACCTGTGACCTCTACCTTCTTTTTTTCTTCCATATCTTTTCTGCTTCTCTATCTTTTATATGTTTATAACTCACCCCAAACCCTCTGCCAGGATATACAGTATGAAGAGCAAATAGCATTTTAGATTTGGATTTTCTCAGCTCCCTATGTAACTGACTACACCGATTCTTGGGGTCTTCGGTATTCTTGGGTTCCTTTTCATGTTCTGGTGTCCTTATCTTTTCAAATTAGATGGTTTGATGAAAGATCCGTCTGCGATGGTGTGTTTCTACCCAAATATCCCAGAAGTTGAGCCATCAGCTATCTGTGGAGAATTCGTCTTCCTCATGGACTGCTCAGGGAGTATGCAGTGCCCCATAAGTAAACAGGATAAATCACAGTTGCGCATAGAGGCAGCCAAGGTAAAGCTAGTTACTTTCTTTTTCTGGTCACGTGCACAAAGGAGGATGAATCGCAAGAGTTAAATTGGGGTCCATCTGGAACTTTCCCCTTCTGAGCTACGTCTAACATGACCACTCTGAGAATAGCCTTGGGATATAAGGGCCTGGAGTCATGAAATGTGGGAAGGCCCACCCCTGTAAGAATTACACTGGGAGGGTCTGTGTGTCTGGGAGGAGCCTGTCTCACTGTCTCCTTTACTCTCTTCCTTCAGGAAACACTGATTTTGCTGCTGAAGAGTTTGCCTGTAAACTGTCATTTCAATATCTATGCATTTGGATCTTCCTTCGAGGCATTCTTTCCGTAAGTTTCTAGAAAGCCTACAGAGAGTCCAAAAGGAAACTTCAAAGACAGAAGTAGATTGTTAGAGGGGTTCCTTGCACAGTTGACTTTGGCATTGGGTGTTTCAGGTGAGGTTGTTTATAGTGGGGGTATCTCAGTTCAGGGACTTGAACTCAGGGACTCAGTTCAGGGACTGGGTGGTGTTGAGCAGCTATCGTATCACTGGGTGTGTTTGTTTTTCTCAGGAATAGTGTGAAATACACTCAGGATACCATGGAAGAGGCACTGAGGAGAGTTAAACTCATGCGGGCGGACCTAGGGGGCACGGAAATCTTGACACCACTCCAGGTCATTTACAGAGAACCTTCCATCCCGGGCCACCCCCTACAGGTAGGAACAACTGGAACAGAGCCAGCAGAAGGCAACAGAGAGAATGAAATCTCTGTTCAAGAATCCATCCCCCTGAGCTTGGTTGTAGGTTTGTTAAAATAGGACATAAATTTCAGAGTCTTCTATCATACAGTGAAGAGAATAAGACGAGACAAGAAGCGTTTAATAGAATTCCTTTCCTTAGCTCCATGCTGTGGGCGGTGGGTGGTGGAAGTTATTTTGTGGAGTCCCACAAAAGTTTTAGATGAGACGAGAAGGGGGAGGTGATGAAAATCCCAGGTCCCGAACAAGCCGTGTGAGAATATGGTGCAAGTGACCATGGAACGTTAGGGACCTCACACCCGTCTGAAGGGGCTGTAGTCTCTGGAATGAAACAGTTGATTTTTCCCAAGGGCAAATTCTGGCGTCTTAAAAAATGATCTTCACAGAGATGTGACGAATGTCTTCTTTCTATCTACAGCTTTTTGTCTTCACAGATGGAGAAGTTACTGACACGTTCAGTATAATTAAAGAAGTTCGGAACCACAGACTGAGGCACAGGTAGGAAGAGAATGTGAGTTCTGGGTGACTGACCCGGGTAGTGGCACATGTAGTTTACTGCCAATTGCTACCAGGGTTGACATTCCTTTCAGAGGAGAGAGTGATTCAAGAATTTTAGTTTTACTAGCTAACAAGCTTTTTCTATATCATTTTCCCCTCTCTAGTAAAAGATAAAAGTCATTTTCTAAATAATGTCTATTATGGAAACAAAAATTGAATAGTAAGACAGTTTAAAAAAATTTTTTTAATGTTTTATTTATATTTGAGAGAGAAAGAGACAGAGAGTGAGTGAGGAAGGGGCAGAGAGACGGAGACAGAATCTGAAGCAGGCTCCAGGCTCCAAGCTGTGAGCTGTCAGCACAGAGCCCGATGTAGGGCTCGAACTCACGAGCAGTGAGATCATGACCTGAGCCGAAGTTGGACACTTAAACAACTGAGCCACCCAGGTGCCCCAAGACAGTTTTTTTTAAACTATAACCATTTTTATCAAAGTAAAACATACACAAAACTACACAAATCACAAGTATACAGCTGGGTGAATCACAGAGTTGATCAGTACCAACTTTTACCTCTCCAAAGGAAATAGCTTTCCTGACCTGTAACACCATGGATTATTTTTGCTTGTTTTCAAATAAAAATAAGTGGGTTATACAATACGTTTTTGTTTCTGTGTATTTTACTTCTAGCCCTCAGTAGTATGTTGATATTCGTACCTATTTTGCATGGAGCCGTGGTTAATTTTCATTGGTGTGTAGTATTCCATAGAATAATAGTTATATGTGTATGTATATATATATATATATATAGAGAGAGAGAGAGAGAGAGTTAGATCTATAGTTCACCTGGATTTTGTGTGTGTGGGTTGTGTGAAGTAGGGGCCAATTTTCATTATCTTCTCATGTTGATTTCATATTGACCCTGTACCATTTATTGAAAAGTTCTCACTGATGTACAGTGTCATTTTTGTCACAGATAAACATCTACACATGTAGTAATTGTTCTTGGATCCTTTGTTCCATCCCATTAGTCTATTTATCTAGACATGTGCCAGTACTATACCAGATAAATTTACGTAGCTCTCTGATAAATATTGATTTCCAATAGAGTAAGTCTTCAACTTTGTTTTTTTTTTTTTAAAGATTGTCTCAGCTGTTCATGACTCTTTGTATTTGTATTTTAGAATTCGTTTGTCAGTTTTTACCAAAAAAAGGAGACTGTTGAGATACTGATTAGAATTATATTGACTTTAGGGCTGCCTGGCTGGCTCAGTCAGTAGAGCATGTGACTCTTGATCTCGGGGTTATGAGTTCAAGCCCCATCTTGGGCATAGAGATTACTTAAAAAAAGGAGAGAGAATTGCATTGATTTTATAGATCAGTTTGGGGACAAGTTAGTGTTTGTTATATTGAGTAGTCTAATCTATTTAGATGGTGTGTCCATCCATTTATTTAGGTCTTTCTTGATTCTTCTGAATGTGTGTTTCCAATATTTTATTTAAAAATTGAAACCTGTAGAGAAGTTGGAAGAATAGAACAATAGACACTCATATACCCTTCTACCAGAGGTCCGTGTTTTAGCACATTTGCCTCACCTATTTTTTGTCTGAAATATTTGAGAGCAAACCACAGATACTGTAATTCTTCATATGCAAATAATAACGCACCTTATCTTCTAAGAACAGGGACATCCTGATGAATAACCACAATGAAACTATTAAACTCAGGATATCTAATGTTGAGATGATACTATCTAAATACAGGCCATATTTGCCAAGCTTTCTAATACTGTCCTTTACAGATTTTTCTTTGTTTGTCTTTGCTTTTGTTCCCAGAGGAAATCTAAGACCAAACATTTTATTTCATTGTTATGTTTCCTTAATCTTCTTTACTCCGGGAGAGATCCTCAGCCTTTCATTATTTTTCATGACACGGATATTTTTAAAGAGGACTATCTAGTTATTTTTGTAGAGACTCAATTTATGTTTGTGTTTGATTACTTAAATTCACGCTTAGGTTAATATTAAATATTTTGGGAAGAAATATTCCAAAAGTAACATTGAGTCTGCTGATAGGTTTGACCACTTCGTTAAAAGGTGGTATCTGATGGAAAACTTGGAAATTTTGTAAACATCTTGTTCTCAACAGATGTTTACTCTGTAGATCCAGCATTCATTGATGATTATTACCCAAATGTTATTACTGTCAGTGGTTGCAAATGGTGATTTTTAAGTTCTGTTAACTTTTCCAGATTAGTTGGCATCTTACTGTAAAGAAGAGTTTCTTGGGGTGCCTGGGTGGCTCAATCGGTTGAGCATCCAGCTTCAGCTCAGGTCATGATCTTGCAGTTCATGAGTTTGAGCCCCACATCAGACTCACTGCTCTCAGTGCAGAGGCTGCTTCGGATCCTCTGTTGCCCTCTCTCTGCCCCTCCCCTTCTTGTGCTCTCTCAAAAATAAATAAACATAAAAAAAAAAAAAAAAGATTTTCCTTCCCCCTCCCTCCCTCCCTCCCTCCCTTCCTTTTGTTGTGCGAATATAGACTTTGGGATTCTTCCAAAATTTTGGATTGTTTTTCAATTTTTTAAGGTTCATTATTTTCAGTTTTCATTTAGATTTTCAAAAATTCCAGTTTTGGCCAGTGGGAGCTGCGTTTCACTTGTTCCTATGTCTTTTTCATGTGTCTCTGTGGTGTTTGAATATTTCCTTTCTTTCTTATAAAAGAGTACAGACTCATCTATACTTTTCCATCCCTATCGCCAGTTATTTCTACAAGAAGCCTAGTTTCTTTCAGTGAAAATGACAAATAGAGGTCAATATTTGAGTATTAGGCATAACTCTGTTACGGGGCTGTTCTTGATTGTAGCCATTTTTGGCAGACTGAACTAGCAACTATTAAAAGAATTTGTTTTAACTGATACCCCTACGTCCAAGGTAATAACATAACATTCTTTCTCTTTTTTCTTCTATTCCATATTTGTGCCTCTTTTCCTCTATGGTGACAAACCTGGTTTCCCATAAAATTAGTAAATGTGCTCATTTCCTTAATCCAACAATACATACAAAATCTCTCTGTAATGTTTTATAATTCTCTGTGTAGAGGTATTCATGCGTTTGTTATTAGATTTTTCCCTAAATGTTTGATACTCTTTTGAATTTTAAATGTTTATTTATTTATTTTGAGGGGAGGGCAGGGGCAGAGAGAGAGAAGGGGAGAGAGAATCCCAAGCAGGCCCCACACGGCCAGCAAAGATCCAGACATGGGCCTCGATCCCACAAACTGTGAGATCATGACCTAAGCTGAAATCCAGAGTTGAACACTTAACTGACTGAACCACCCAGGTGCCCTAGATACTATTTTAAATAGTATTTTTAAAATCATTTTATTTACTGGGCATTTATTTCTAAATAGAAATTGATTATAATAGCTTTTATTCAGTGACTTATTCAGTTACTTTCAGTGACTTTGCCTTATTTAAATATGAATTCTAATAGTATATTTGCAGATTCTTATAGATTTTATTTTTCTTCCCTTCCCTTTTGCCATGGAAAAGAACTTTAGTATAAACCTGAATAGATGTGGTCATAGCTGGCATTCTTTCCTTGTTTTGGACTTCAGAGGGAACATGTTCAACACTGCATCAATAAGTATGATTGTTGGCTATAGGTTTTTTTGTACATACCATCAGATTAAGGAAATTTTATTTATTTTGAGAGTTATTTTTTCTTTCTTTTTTTTCTAACAAAAACCATGAATGATTGTTGAATTACATCAAATGCATTTTATGTATCTGTTGAGATGAGTGTTTGATTTTATCCTTTTTTTCTTTTCATGTGTGACTTATAATGACTAGTATTAGACCAACCTTGCCTTTCTGAAATAAACCCAAATTAGTTGTGATCTATTAACTTTTTTTTATGTATTTTTGGATTCAGTTGTCTGGTAACTTCAGGATTTTTTTTTCAACTTTAGGATTTTTACATATATTTTCATGAGAAACGTCAACATATATTTTCTTATACTATTCTTGTCAGGTTTTGATGTCATTGTTATTCTAGCATCAGAAAATGAGCTAAAATTGTCTATTTTTCTATTATCTGAAAGATTTTCTTTTTTAAATGTTTTTAAAAAACAATTTTTTAAGTTTATTTATTTGCTTTGGCAGAGAGAGAGGGAGAGAGAAGGAGAATCCCAAGCAGACGCCATACTGTCAGTGCAAAGCCCAATGCGGGGCTCAAACCCATTGATCATGACTGACCTAAAATCAAGAGTCAGACGCTTAACCGACTGTACCACCCAGGCACCCCTCTTTATTAAATGTTTACTAGAAGTTGTCAGGAGGCCTTTTTTGTGGGAAATTTTTTAAATATCTTTTTTTTTTTTGAAATGCACTATTCCTACTTTTATACATTTTTGCTTTTTATGGGAATTTGTATATTTTATCTGAATTTTAAATGTCTTTGGATAAAATTCTCTTATGCTATATTGCCTTATGCTGTTGTTAAATTTTGTAGAATCTGTGATATATTACCTTTTCATTCCTGATGTTGGGTATTTGTGTCTTCTTTGTTTTTTTTCCTTGCCCTAAATGTTTGTCAATTTTAATAATCCTTTCAGAGCACTTTTGAGGTGTTTTTTTTTAACCCTCTCTATTGTGTGGTAGTTTTTTCTATCAATAATGTCACTCCAATCTTTATTATTTTCATTTCCCTTTAAATTCTTTGGGTTTATTGGCTGTTCTTTTTCTAACATCTGGGGATGGATGCTCAGGCAGTTGAGTTTTAGACTTTTCTTTTCTAATGCATGCATTTAGATGTATACATTTAAACATATATATCTGAATCCTAATTGGGATCTGTCATTTTCCATTGGCATCCACGTAAGAGTAGTATCATTGCAACTTTTTAAAGCCTAAATTATTCAGAAGTATCGTGTAATTCCCCAATATTTGGGGATTTTCTATTCTTTTGTTAGGTGTCAGATATTCTATATGAAGAGTTCTAGAACTCCTCTGAGCCTCTAGATGATGTTCTCTTCCCTCTGCGAGGATTGACTCTTTCCTTCTGACAGGTTGGGAGACTAGAAGCAGAGCATCCTAGTCCAATTAGAGCCAAATGAGCTTCAGACATTTGACGGCTGGTTCCTTTCAGATTCATCTCTACCTCTGGGGAGTAGTTCTGCAGGGTTGTGTTAAAAAAAAGCCCTGAGGTGTCTGTAAGGGCAACTTCTCTTTGGAAAGTCCAAGTCTGAAACCGCTTAGTTTTTCAGTCTTTCGAGCCATCTGTTTTGTACTTGGCACTATCTTCAAGGGTAACAGGTAACCAGATACCAGTCCCATCTCTCTTGGCCTCTCTCCTCTCCCAGGTCATGGCCCATACATTCCTATTGTCTTTGAAGCCATTTGATGTTTTCAAAAAGATGGTTAAGAATATTGTATACAGCTTTTCCAGTTCTCTACTGGCTGAAACAACTTTAGCTTTGCCGCGAGCAGTACTGTCCTATGGTGTTCTCCTTTAGGTCCATATCGTATATTTAAGTTCCATTTCACCTGCTTGCTAGCTGTTTGGATAAATCAGCTAAGCTCCCTATCTCAGTTTACTCATTTGAAAATAAAGACAATAGCAGTATTTTTCTTATGGGTTTGCTGTGAGGGTTAAAAGGGTATACCTAAGTAAAGAATTAGGAACTGTGCTTCACATACAACATGTGCTAGATAAATTGTCGCCATTATTGTAATTACTATCATTATTGTCACCCATAGGAAGCACTTAAGTAAGTCCTAGGCATGTTGTTAGCCATCCATAACTATTGTTTAGCTTTAGTTTTACACATACAACACTTAAACATGCACATAAAAGCCCTTCATAAGCCATAAGGAATGTAGGCTACTGTTGCAATGCCACACTGGAAATTTAAAGATGATAATATCAAGATGCTGGCAGGCTGTGGTCTCTAGGGGCATTGTCACAGGTCGGTCACTCTAATTAGAAGTCTGGTTCTTAGCCCTACAAGTTCAGAATGTTATGATGTCACTAGAATTGGGGATGATGACTCACACTAACCCAATTCAAAAGAGACTGATGCATAAGCCAAAATTTCAGTGCATTAATTTACAATGAGACGTCTCCTTGTCATGCCTTCTAAAAATGCTTATATTAGTGTTGCCACTAATAGGCAGTTTAGTTGGGAAGCCAAATTGTAATTAAAAAGCTATTTAGTGCACATGGATTATGGCAGGGAGAGAACTCTCCAGCTAGAAGAGCAGGAGGTACCCTTTCCCACCCTAGGACTGGTCTTGCCAGGGCAGATATGGCTCTAGTACAATGTTAGCAAGGCGCTGATGATAGTGTCTATTTGATCTTACCTCTCCCACTTTCCCCTACCGTTCTTTGGATTTATTATTAAGATAATTGATGAGGATATGGTCCGAAGGTTTTTTTTTTTCTCCTTCTAGGATCAGCGTAATATATATTGTTTTGCCAGGGGGATCTTACGGTCACATAGACCAGTGCTCAAATGTCATCTCTACCATTTGGTAGGTGTGTGATCTTGGGCATATTTCTTCAATTTGTTGGCCTTCAGTTTCTTATCTGCAAAATGAAGCATAAGTCTGCCTCTTAGGAGTCTTGTGATGATTAAATTGCATCATTAGGGGCTCCTGGGTGGCTCAGTCGGTTGGGCGGTCGACTTCGGCTCAGGTCATGATCTGAAGTCTGTGACGGGTTTGGCCCCGTTGCTCGGCTGACAGCTCAGAGCCTGAGCCTGCTCTCGTTCTGTGTCTCCTTCTTGCCCCTCCCATTCATGTCTGCTCTCGTCTCTTCTAAAAATAAATAAACGTTAAAAAAAAATTAAAAAAAATAAATTGCATCATTAAGGCATTTGGTCTCCTGATTTGGGTCAAGGAACTAGACCAGCTATTTATCTCTTTATGTATTTTTGACTATTATGTGTTAATTTATAATTTCCCCCTGTAGTGTCTGTCTCTAACCTCTCATCCTTGTACAATTGCAGATGTTTCTCCTTTGGGATTGGAGAAGGAGCCTCCACCAGCCTCATAAAGGCATGTCGGCCCGGTAGAGGTGCACTTCAGGGTAATTTATCACAGAGACAGGATGCAGGCCAAGGTGAGGACAGGCCTTGTGTTCAGAGGGCCTTGTAATCCAGAGGGAGTGTGGAGCGGGGGTCGGGGGGAGACACTGCCGCAAGGGCAGAGGCAACATCTTGACGCCAGAATTCATTTCTTATACAATCCATACGCGCTTATATAATAACATAGTGGGGCTCCTTTTGACCTGATGTAAATGGGGCCTACTGCAGTTTCTGGAGAAGTGGCATCTGGGTCCCTAGTGAGTTAGAAGTGCCCAGAGACAAGATGCCAGAGTGACGGCTTTGTTTCAGACCAGAAGAAATCTCGGGGGCGCCTACAGTGCGAGGCTTGTTAGCTGTCCAGACTTTTCAGCCAGGTTACTTGATCTCATGCGTCCGTGAGTTGAGGCCTACGTCAGCTCCACTTCTGGGCTGATGGCTGCCTGAGCCTGGAGCCTGCTTCATTCTGTGTCTCCCTCTCTGCCCTCCCCGTTTCATGCTCTGTCTCTCTGTCCCAAAAATAAATAAACGTTGAAAAAAAAAAAAATTAAAAAAAATAAATAAATAAAATAAGACCAGAAAGAAACCAAGGATTGTGACCGTCATGATCCGGATTCTAGATGCTTGCTCAAGGAACACTTTGGTGCTCTATCCTATCCTCCATGCAAATGAGACGAAGAGAACAAGAAGGATGAAATATAGTATGTCTGGTAGATTGGCAGAGGCAGTCAATTCATATTCCCATTTGATCAGTGCACACAAGGGAAGGCATCTTCTTCCTCTGCTTATGTTTGTAAGTTCCTCTTTCCGGGGTGCTGCCATCCTTTACTTTATCCTCCCTTACCCCTACCGCCTCCTAGGACAATATTATGGAATAGGCATAACATATACAGTGTTGCATAGCACCTGGTGCATAATAAGTATTCAGCTGATAGTAGTTATTATTGCCGTTATTATTTTTTTGCTTAGTCTGTTCTCTGTCTTCCACCAGGCACTTAGGGCCCTGAAACACGCTCTACAGCCCGCAGTAGAGGATGTTTCTGTGAACTGGGATTTGCCTCGTGGTCTGTCTGCTAAAACACTTTCACCAGAACAGACTGTCCTCTATAAGGGTCAGAGGTTAATTGTCTATGCCCAGTTGACTGGGACCATGCCGGTGAGTTCCAATTCTTGTTTGTTCCTCTAGTCAGGGTAGTTACGGCCCCGACCTCTGCTCTGGACAATTTTCTTAAAACTGGTGGAGTCTCATCAAATGATCACACTTGTCGGGTGGAGCCCACCTACCCCCTTCTCCATGATTTCAGTTTCTGATTTCCTGAGCTACCTGGGTCCTAGTCAGAAATTTTAATGTGTTGGGTTGGGAGGGGCCCCAGTTGTGACCTTTCTCTTGGTGACCTCTCCCTTCCATCACGTCTACTCTTCTCTACTTTGCAGCCAGAAGAGGGAACAGGAGAAGTTTGCCTCAACTACACACTCCAGGGCAAGAGTTGTGAGAATAAGGTGACATTTTCCCTACAACCCAAGCTTGATGACAAGTGAGAATCCAGTTTTCCTTCACTGTTTTATTTATTTATTTTTTTTTGGGGGGGGGGTCTCTGCCATCCTTGAGGGTTGACTTCTCTCTCTTAATTTGGGCCTCAATTGTGTCCCTACAAACACTTCTCCTTTCCGACCCATTCAAGTCTTCTCTCTCCCTTTATCTGGCTTTTTCATCCCTTTGCCAAGGCTAACTTTTGAGGGCCCTGAGGAACTGGTATGTGTGTGCTCTTCTCTAAGTCACAGGGGTTCTTTTCTTCTAGCTTCACTATTCACCGCCTTGCTGCCAAGGCCTTTCTCCAGAGCATGGACATAGGCTTCGGGGAGACTCCAGCAAAAACTAAAAAAGATGTGCTGAAAGTCAGCATTGACTGTGGAGTCATAAGCTCCCACACAGCTTTCATTGCCATCAACAAGGATGTCAACAAGCCAGTTCAGGGGCCCCTGGCTTGTAGGGACATTCCAAGGCCGGTTCTGCTGGGTGCTGCTGTGCAGATGCCACAATGCAAAAGAGTTGGTGAGTGGGTTTTACCCCATTTGAACTCATGTGACACAAGGGGCCCTAGATACGTAAACACGTCATTTGAAGTAAAAGCTTGTGAACTTGAATTTTTTTTCCTTGCCTCTCCACATCTAGGATTTCTGGATGCTGTGGTCCCTTTCTAGGGGACTAGAAAATATCCCACCAGCAAGGAGATTTTAAATAATCCGAGGGGGAAAAAAACAAGAAAAATGAAAACAGAAAGTACACATACACATTGAGTATTCACACAGTCTAAATCTGAGGCTGATGTAGCCTATGGAGAATTAGATGGGTAATGATTATACAGGTGGCTGATGGTAGTGATTTGGTGGTGTTAGGGAATGGGTGTCTCAAGCGTCAGTCAGGTGGGCTTGAGTACAGATATTAGGGGCTTGAGGGTTAGGGTCAGGTAGAGAAATTCCCTGGGCAGGATTCTGTGGCCAGAGGGGAATGTGTGATGTTGGTTGTAGAGGCAGGCTTCCAGTTGCACCCAGATTTTTGTTTTAGTGGTACCATTTATTTAAATAGAGTAACTAAAAAAAAAACAGGAGCCAGTGTAGAGGATAGTATGTTGAATTGTTTTTGAGTACTTTGAACTTGAGATCCCTATGGCATATTCATATGAAGATGTCCAGTAGAAAGATAGATAGATGGTTCTGCCATTCAGAGGAAAGCTCAGGGATGAAGATACACATTTGGCAATATTTAACATGTAAGTAAATAACTAAAGTCACGAGAAGAGATGAGATTATCAGAAGGCGTGTACAGAGTGAGATGAAAGGGGGATGAAATGGAAACATCCCAGTATCTAGGGATGGGTAGTAAGAGGATTCCCCACACCAGAATGAAAAGGAATGAAGTAGGATGAGAAGAAGTGAGTGCACAATCAAAACAAATGAAATATGATTTAAAAAAGTGGAATTATCAAAGTGTAAGATACTGCAGACAAGTCAAAGTAGAAACTGAAGGGGGACTATTGGGTTACTCTCAGAGAAGTTCTTGCTGCTGTAATCAAGGGCGATTTCATTGGCTTCGGTCAGGAAAGAATCCATATTACAGGACGTTAAAGAGTAAAGAGAGGTAGGAAATGAATGTATAGACACTTTTGATAAACATGAAGCTGGAAAGGGAATGGAATAGAGAGTGGTGTCTACAGAAGTTGTAGAGTTGAGGTGGAATTTTGTGTGTTATTATCTCTTTAAAGTTTCAGAATGGGGGAGATTTGAGGATGCTGTAATGCCCAAGTCAGAGTGTCAGCAGGGAGGGCTGACACTTTTGGGGCGGGGGGAATGGGGTAGCTAACTGAGACGGGTGTCTGAGGAAGTGGGAGACGATGACTTCTAGAGCAGCAGTGAAATCCAGGAAGGACAAGTATTAGGACACTCGCCCACTGTTGCCAGGAAGGAGAGGAAAGGTGGTGGAATTTGATTCCAGTTCACAAACTGAGAGGCAAGTGCTTAGAGTTTCTGTCTGATAGGTTTTCTATAGTTTTAGTGAAAGAGACAGCAAGACTAGCTACTGAGTCTGAGACAAAAAGAGGTAGAAGAGAGAGTTTGAGGAAAGGGTTTCAAGTAGCTCTGTGGACAATTAGTGCAATTCCCAGGGAAAAATAAAGCCTTTGCCCAGGAGTGTTGAGGGTCCAGTTTAGTTTTGATTCTTTGCCTTTTTTAGTGGCACCAAACTAGCAGAGAGGAGCACAGTCCATGTGATTCATTTCGGCAGGACTCAGCAGCTTTGGTGTAAGAACAAAGGCAGCAGAGTGTTGATGTACTTTCAAGGTTGGGGTATTACCGGATGGGTGTCATGAAAAGGAAATCAGGGACATGGAGTTGAAGAGAGTGGTTAGGTGTTGGACCTGGAACTGAAGCTAAATAGGAGAGAGACTGAAGATAAAAGGAAGGGGACTATAGGGAAAAAGCAGAGGCGACACAGATATAGAGGTCCAGATGAAGTCAAAGACCAGGCAAAATAGAGATCTCTGAGTTAGAAGGCTCCAAAGATTGGATACTGTATTTAAAAAGTGGGATTTTTTTTTTTTCAATTTGCTTTTTTTTTTTGTACAGGTGGAACAATTCTGCTGGATAACAAGATTCTGGCTTGGGAGGGAGTGGCTGAGGTTGAAGCCATTTGATTTGAGAAAGTTAAGACGCTTTGAATGAGGCTGCTGGATAGGTTATCTACAAGGGTACTGAAATCTCAAGATGATGGCAGGCTGTGCAATGAAGTGGGAGTCTAGAAACTAGCATTCAGATGCTTTTGTGAATAATGGGAAGTGACAGAGAAGGTTGGAGGTTGACAGCAGGAAGAGTATGAGGAAGGTAATCCAGGTGAGGGTGGAGGAGTAATGAGCTGGAAGCCACCTTTGTGACTAACGAGGTTGCCAGTCCCACCTCCCCAACCTGGGTACTTAGACTATGGTACCTCAGGAGAGTGCCATGTGAGAGGGACAGAGAGAGAACAGTTCTGGGAAGAAGAAGATTAGTTTTAAGTTAAGATAAGTAGTTGGAAGAAGCCTCCTGTAATGAAATGAAAGATGCAGGAAAGATCATTGTCCGGTATCGAGTGTTCAGAGGACACAGCAGGAAGGGCTCAGGAGGTAAGGGTGTGTGCAGGAGGTGGGCTCACAGGAGAAGGAGAAAAGATGGTGGCTGAGGCAGACATGCATAGGAGGACATGTGTCCTACTTTCTCAGTGCCCTTTGCCTATATAGCAGAGAGCAGACGGTGCCTCAGTCTCAATGTCTATACTGGTGGTTTTCAGCTCATTTAAAGGCCTGGTCCTCCTACCCACCTCGTGCATCTCGGCCCACACAGACCAATCAGTACTTGAGCATGTCATGTCAACTGAATGTTCACAAAAGTCTCTGTAAGCCCATGGTTAACGAGGGCCTGTGCTCTCCAGGTGAGCATGTTTCCAGGGACTTCTCCTCACCCATGTTTGTCTATCACATGTATAAGACTAGACACACTCAGCCCTCTGGGTCATAGATCAGAGAAGAAATGCATGTTTCTCAAAGAGACTTCTCCTGAGATGGAAAGAGCTCATTGTCCCACCAATAGGACCAACTTGGAGACTCACCCTACAGGTGAGATGGGACTCATTGCTCTGCTCTGATCTATGGGGACCAAAGAACTAATCTTCAACGCTTCTGCTTCCCTGGCTTTCTCTAGCCGGGAGGTAATCTGTTGGAAAAGTGGCAGGCAGAGGATGAGATTTGTCCAGTCCCTATGCTTGCTAGGGTCAGCCCCCCTTCACTACTCTACAATATAGGACCCTGAAACTACCCAGCAGAGTGTGGGTTAAGGCCTGGCTGAACGCACCCCCTTTGCCATCTCAGCTCATCCAGCTTGCCTGCAGAACTCTCCTGCCCTCCCGCTGCAGAACTCTGCTGCCACCCTGTTTGGGTCTCCGCTGCACTGGTCAGTCTTCTGCAAGTTGGATTTGAGAGTAGATCTTCCTGATGCTGGCCACTCACTTTCTTTCTGTCACCAAAGGGTGTTCCTCAGAACACCAGCTGTGTTCCAAGCAGCTGGGCTTCTCACGTACAGGACAAACTGAGTCAAAGTACATTTTGCCACTAAGACGTGTCTTTTCTACTAAAATAGGCTTAAAGGCAACTTCTTTCTAGTCTCTGATTCTTGTAGCAAGAATTTGTGGTATACAGTTGTTTAATTGTTGAAACATCTTCATTGCCATTTACCCTGTACTTATTCATTCCCTTTAGGCTGCTAGTTAAAGAGAGGACTTTATGGTCTCAGGTGGAGTCAGATCCCCGTCCTCCCAACTACTGTGGGGTTTTAGGCAAATTAAATTCATTTCCCAGAGCCTTAGTTCCTTCAGCTGCACAACTACTGACCTCACAGGGTTGTCATGAGAAAATTCTTTTATTTATTTGTTTATTTATTTATTTACATCCAAGTTAGCAGATAGTGCAACAATGATTTCAAGAGTAGATTCCTTAATGCCCCTTACCCATTTAGCCCATCCCCCCTCCCACAACCCCTCTAAGCAACCCTCAGTTTGTTCTCCATATGTTCTCTGTATGTCTGTTATGTTTTGTCCCCCTTCGTTTTTATATTATTTTTGTTCCCCTTCACGTATGTTCATCTGTTTTGTATCTTAAATCTCTCACATGAGTGGAGTCATATGATATCTGTCTTTATCTGACTAATTTCGCTTTGCATAATACCCTCCAGTTCCATCCAGGTAGTTGCAAATGGCAAGATTTCATTCTTTTTGATTGCCGAGTAATACTCCATTGTATATATACACCACATCTTCTTTATCCATTCATCCATCAATGGACATTTGGGCTCTTTCCATACTTTGGCTATTGTCAATAGTGCTGCTATAAACATTGGGATGCATGTGCCCCTTCAAAATAACACACCTGTGTCCCTTGGATAAATACCTGGTAGTTCAATTTCTGGGTTATAGGGTAGTTCTATTTTTAATTTTTTGAGGAACCTCCATACTGTTTTCCAGAGTGGCTGCATCAGTTTGCATTCCCACCAGCAGCGCAAAAGAGATCCTCTTTCTCCGCATCCTTGCCAACATCGATTGTTGCCTGAGTTGTCAATATTAGCCATTCTGACAAGTGTGAGGTAGTAGGTATCTCATTGTGGTTTTGGTTTGTATTTCCCTGAGGATGAGTGATGTGGAGCATTTTTTCATGTGTCGGTTGGCCATCTGGATGTCTTCTTTGGAGAAGTGTCTATTCATGTCCTTTGCCCATTTCTTCACTGGATTTTGATAAGTTCTTTATAGATTTTGGATACTAACCCTTTATCTGATATGTCGTTTGCAAATATCTAGTCCCATTCCATCGGTTGCCTTTTAGTTTTGCAGATTGTTTCCTTCACTGTGCAGAAACTTTTTATTTTGATGAGGTCCCAATAGTTCCTTTCTGCTTTGGGTTCCCTTGCCTCCAGAGACATGTTGATAAGAAGTTGCTGCAGCTGAGATCAAAGAGGTTTTTGCTTGCTTTCTGCTCTAGGATTTTGATAGATTCCTGTCTTACATTTAGGTCTTTCATCCATTTTGAGTTTATTTTTGTGTACAGTATAAGAAAGTGGTCCAGGTTCATTTTTCTGCATGTCGCTGTCCAGTTTTCCCAGCACCACTTGCTGAAGAGACTGTCTTTTTTTTTTCAATATGTGAAATTTATTGTCAGATTGGTTTCCATACAACA